TGTAAATTAGTGGTTTGATGTGCTGGTAATGTTTTTACCTAATTTATAATACATATTGAAAAAAATAGGACTATTAAAAAAACGGATCCCTCCAGTAATTTCTTTTTGCATGCATTTTAGTTAGAACACTGTTTTCTATTTAACATGATAGCATTTGCTTTATCCAGTGTTACTATATATCTTAAAATGTGTGTTCATATTATTTCCTATGAGTTGGGTGTGATCATTCCAATGACTTGGGAAGGGTAAGGCAGGAAAATTGCAAGTTCAAAGCCAGCTTCAGCAACTTAGTGAGGTTCTAGGCAACTGAACAAGACCTTGTCTTAAAATAAAACAATAAAAGGATTGGGGATGTGACTCAGTGGTCTAGCACCCCTGGATTCAACCCCTGGCACCAAAAAAAATTTTCCTATGATAAATTCTCAGAAGTAGATCTCTTAGAGCAAAGGGCAAGCCTATTTTTGAGGTTCTTCATACATGTAGCTAAATGTTTTTCCAATAGACTAAATTCCTTGAGGATATTTTATTAATCTTGTACCCATAATTAGGTTGTCCAACTAACTTAATATCTGATGTTTAAGATATTTCATTAAAATAAAGTTTTATATCAAACTGATACCACCTCAAAGACTTATGTCACTATGGTCTTTATACAGTATTTGTAACTATCCAATCAGAAGGAAATTTGTTAATTCATGGGACAGGCAAAAGGAAGAAGAGTATGACTCTATTATTAAGTTTCATCCCCTGAGCATGATGGTGCACACCCATAATTCAAGCAACTGAGGAGCTAAGGCAGGAGGATTAAGTTTGAGGCCAGCCTCAGCAACTTAGTAAGACCCTGTCTCAAAATTTAAAAAAAGGACAAGGGAAGAAATGGTCAAAATGCCCCTGAATTCAATTTCCAGGATGGGGAAAAAAAAAAATACATAGACACACACACACACACACGCGAGCGCGCACGCGCGCGTATATAAAGTTTAAAAGGACAGGGAAATGCCTGAAATATAACATTAAGTAGAAATGGATGACTTATATAATCCCACATAGTTTCAGTTTTCCTCTAAAAAATTATATGCACACATGCTACATATACAAAAGAGAGACTAGAAGACATTATTAGCATTCTATTATTTTCATTAATAGAAATCTAAGTAAATAGTCTTTCTTCTGCTCATGTTATGTATTTTCCAAGTTTCTAAATGAACACATTCCTTTTATAACAAAAAACAAAACTTGCATTATAGTTTTCCTTTCAAATGTAATCTAAAAGGAAGAAGATGGCATCTAATGTGTGATATGTCACTTTAAAATTGCAGGCATGGTGGCTCATGCCTGGAATCCCAGTGATTTCGGAGGCTGAAGCGAGAGGATCCCAAGTTGGAGGCCAACCTTAGCAATTTAGTTAGACCCTGTCTTAAAATGCCCCTGAGTTCAAGTCCCAGTACCAAACAAACAAAAATTGGAATAAAAGATATCAAAAAAATTTTCTGGTTCCCTGTTAGCTGATTATGTCTGATATCTACAACTCTGCAAACAATTTCATCAGCTGAACAGTCCATAGTAAAAAACCAAAGATACTACTTGGCTTCTGCTCAAATTCTGTGACATAGTCACTTAAAACAAAAAAATAAAGACTTTTCAAACTATTTTGGTGAGAGGAAACAAATAGTCAGCATTCCTATCTTTATAAACAAACAAAACCAAAAAAAGGCATCCTAACTAAATAATGGTAGAACTTAAAACTACAGGTCTGGTCAGTCCAAATTAATAGTCATTAGCCACATACAGCTACTTAAAGTATTAAAATTAAATAAAATTAAAACTTCAGTTCCTGAGTCATACTAGCCTAGTCATATTTCAAGTGCCCACAGCCACACGAGACTAATAATTACTGAACTGGACACACAGATATGGAACTTCTCTATCATAACAAAAAGTTTTATTTAGACCACTTTACAACAGATGTTGCTGAATAAGTAAAGGGGAAACCCAAGCTAACCATATTTAATTATATGTCAATAAAGCTTGTAATTAAATAAAGAATGCCTTGAAAAATGGTATGAAACCTGAAGGAATAGAAAACCATTTTGATTAAACCTGCTAAAGAGTAGGAGATTATGTACATAACTTACATCCGCTTTTGCTTTAAAACCCGCAAGGCTTTCTGCTTGACCATATTCTAAGGAGAAAAACAGATTTAATAAAAACAAAGTGGAAAACATACACATGGCAAAAAAAAATCTCCAAGAATTGTATCTCAGTGATGGACTGCTTGCCTAGCTTGCTTGAGGCCCTGGGTTGATCTCTAGCACCAAAACATACCGGCTCCTAAATTTTGTACTTCTCCCAAGCACTAATATTGTTCACTCTCCAAGTCTTTGCATTCCACATCTCTATATCCTGAACTACTTTCTCTTTCCCTAATATATATTAACTCAACCTCCAATTTGAACAGCATCCTTTTTTATTGGGGGGGGGGGGGGGGCAGTACTAGGGATTGAACCCAGGGCCTGGTGCATGCTAGGCAAAAGCTCTACCACTGAGCTACATTACCAGCCCCATTCTGTATATCCAGTTGCCTTAGGAAGATTCCCCACTTGAATATCCTGCTATCAAATTAAATGGAACATGCCCAAACTCTTCAATCTTATGTTGGAAATAACTAACAGTAGTACATGCCTGTGATCCTAGGCACAGTGGTAAATGCCTGTGATCCCAGCAACTTGGGAGGCTAAGGCAGGAGAATGGCAAGTTTGAGGCCAACCTCAGCAATTTAGCAAGGCCATAAGCAACTCTACCAGAGCCTATCTCAAAATAAAAAATAAAAAGGGTTAGGGACGTAGCTCAGAGGTAAAGCTCCTGGGTTCAGTCTCCAGTACCAAAAAAAGAAAGAAAGAAAGAGAGCCACCAACCTCTCTCTTCTCGAGATTGAGAAACTTTAATCAACCTTATCTTTCCTCTCTCTGTTGTCTCCTCAGAGAGTCATCAGTGTTACTGATTTTCAGACTCACTCTCAAACTGACTCATTTTACATTATTCTCATGACTACCTACCTGGTTTGGGCTTTCACCTCCTGAAGTGTAGACGAGCTTTCCTACTTCTATTTTTCAGTCTACACCATTATCTAAGGTGACTGGGAAAAGCCTTCCCTTTCTATACTGTTCCATGTTATCAATTTATTTGTCTCCTCCAATGAGGAAGGAAAAACAAATATTACCTCATGGAAGATAATAACTAACATGTATTAAGTGCTACTAAGTTCTAGATATAGTACTGTACAGGTCTTATGAATCATCTCATTTAATTCTCATACAATAAAGTATCATTATCCCCATTTACAATAGCAAAACTGAGGTTCAGTGATGCCCTGGTTTACCTAATTAATAAGTTATAGAACTAGAAAACCCAGATAGTTCTATATCCATAGTGTATTCTTTTAAACACAATATTCTATGTTCCTACTAACACAAGAAAACAAGTGACTTTATCAAGGTCACAGCAGGTAGTAATAGTGATAGTATTAGAACATTGGTCCCACATGCCAAGTTCTGTCCTCTTTTTCCCAGCATGCCACTCCTTAACCAGAATATTATTCCTACTTACCCTGACCAACCTAGCAACTCACTGTTTCTCAGCATAGATCAGTGGAATATGTGAATTCCTACTTACATGCTTCTGGACATATAATCAACAACTCTCCTCTAGATCAAATGCTAGCCTCCCTCTCATATCTATCCACAAAATCTCCCTGAAGAACATACTTTCACATGTGTTTTCTATTTACCAGACTCTAAGCATCTCTTTGTATCCTTCAACAGCCCCTACAACCAGATGCTATTTCTACAGGTGCTCAAATTAGGCTGTCACAGTATCTTATGTGGCAGTTGCCAACTACCTTACCTTTGCAGGACCCTCTCTCATCTTTTTTATTTGATCCTTATACTTCACTAGCTCAGCATCCAATCGGGAAATCTTCTTGTCAATGGATTCTGCTCTGCTGTCCACCTTGGAGGAATATATAAAATGAAGTGGTAGTTACTGCAGTATACTTACACAGGAAGGGGCAGGAGGAGGAAAGTGGAGAAAGAAAAACAAAGGGAAGCATATGGTGAGGGGTGGAAAACAGTAGTTCACTGGGCAGGGTATGATTCCCAGTTGGAAACCCTGCGGGGCGCTTTTATAAGATACTCCAATCCCCTCTATTCTGATATACCAGGTCCCCCCCTGAAGTGTATTGGGGTAGAAAAACAATTTGAGAATCACTGGGCTGAATTGAAATTTCCCTGGAATCATAGACTAGTCAGGCTGGGGGTTCAACAAGGAGGTGCATGAAATAAGCCAATGCCCATTAAACACCAGCTAAGACTAAACTAATGCCACCCACTAGGTCAGAAATGATGGCCTAATCTGAGGAGTCAGGGTTCTGAATTTTTGTATTACTGAGGTCCAGCTATGTTAATTTATCAACAGAGAAAAGACCCCTGTCATGAGAAGGGATGGAAAAGGGGTAAAATATCGGTCTGGACGAGGTGAAAAGGGTGTATGGGCCTAAGGCAGGTTGGGGTGAAGGAACCAAGGGGAGAGCAAGTGGACCGGGCAATGGCATCAGGATGGGTTGAGAGCAGGAAGAGCGAGACAGTGATGGGATTACAGAGTTCCTGGTTTGTGGAGTGAGAGGAAAGACTTGGGAAAAAAGGATGAAAGGACGAAGTAGGTATGGAGAGGGCCGAGGTGTAATGGGCCCGGCTTCGGTAATGGGGTGGAGTAGGAGCCAGGAGCAGGGATGGGAGGGGTAGGGAATGTCAAAGGTCCTAAGACTACTTATACATGATCAGATGCCCACCGTGCCAATGCAGTCGGTCAGGCTGGGCGGCGGAGCCTTGGGTTTCGCTTTCCCGAAGAATCGGTTCATCTTGGGCGGCCGCGAAGAACCCAAACACTAGAAGAAAATCAAAAACGGAAGCGAAGTCAGCGCCGCTTCGACTTCCGGTTCTTCCATGCGCAAGCGCAGTGTTCCTGACCCTTTTTCCGAGTTTTCAGCTCCGCCTTCCCCGAGAGGAATTCAGAGCTTTGGAAGGGGTGGGGAGGAAACTGCAGGAGGAGGGGCCTCAGTGGAGGAAGTGGGCGGGACTTCAGGTGAGCGAGGCGGGGCCTTGGATGAGTGGGTGGGGCCTAGAGGAGGCTTTAATACATAGGGTGGGGCAGGAGCGGAGCGGGGCGTGGCCAGGAAGTAATCCGGTAAGGTAGCAAGACGCGGCGTTTAGCTCCCGCCGCTGGGCGGTCAACTAGCGCGGGCCTGGCGGAACGGGGCGGCGCACGGAGACCGCGAGGCGACCGGGAGCGGCTGGGCCCCCGGCGGCGCGCCCCTCGGCCGGGCGGGGAGTCGCGCCAGTCGGAGTCCCAGGCCGCGCGCGGCCTGCCTCGCTCTCAGCGTCCATCTGTCCGGAGTGCAGCTAGCGGGCATGACCGATCCACCAGGGGCGCCGCCGCCGCCGGCGCTCGCAGGCCGCGGGTGAAGAAGGTTCGTCCCCGCTCGACGCGGAGCGAGAAGGTGACCCAGGCCGAGGAAGCGCCCCGGGCCAAGGAGGAGACCCGGGCGGAAGAGGTGGCACCGACTGGAGAGGTGACCCAAACCCAGGAAATGGCGGCAGCCGAGCTCTGCGTGACCATCACCCACAGTAAGTGACTGGCGGCTGGATGGGCTCAGTGCAGGACTCGGAAGGCCCCATGGGGTCTGTGGATTTGGCCATGTGTCTCCGGAAGTGTATGTCCTTAGGTTTGTCCCGCGTCCGGAAGTGTGGATTCTTAGCTGTGTCCATGGGCTGGCTTTTGTCTGGATCTTGTGTCATCACACCTTCCTTGTTACAGGTGTATTTTTTCTCTATTTGTTGAATCGTGGATGTTGGAACGTGTTCGCACACCTTGGGCTTAGTTGTTTGCTTGCGCAGTTATTGTGGGTTTTTTTGTAAGACTTGTGTTGAGCCACATTATGTCTGACTGTTGTGCGTCTGGACACCTACGTGTGTGATGACTATGAACTTCGTCGTGGCGAGCTGTTCATTATTTATTGAGTGCCTTCTCTGTGTTGGATGCTGCGTGCCCGCTGTTTAAGTGGGCCATGGGTCCAAGCATTAACTTTGGGCACTCGTTGAAGTTGACTAAACAATGTCTGTACACTGGAGAGCTGAGTAGATGAGGTGTTTTTCAGAACCAGCTAGGGGAGATCCTACTCTTCAAATCTGGAAGCCAGGATTCTAGATCCTGCAATTTTGAGTGACACTGAAATAGATGTCTCCTTTTAAGGCATCTGTTTTTTTCTCTGTAGCATTGGTAACCCCTGCCCCTGGTCACTAATCCCATTTTATGGAGCTGTTGGGAGAGTTCTTATGCTGTTGGCATAAGATGAATCTGAGGAATCAGATGGATCTGAGGCCAGTTCAAGGCACTGGACACAGGCTACCTGCTGTCTCTCCACTACCTAGAGAAGAATTGGCATCCATATTTTGTTTTGTTTTAGGTACCAGGGATTGATCACGGGCACTTAATCACTGAGCCACATCCCCAGCCCTATTTTGTATTTTATTTAGAGACAGGGTCTCACTGAGTTGCTTAGTGCTTCGCTTTTGCTGAGGCTGGCTTTGAACTCAAGATCCTCCTGCTTGCCCCACCAGGCCTGGCTTGTTTTTGTTTTATTTTATTTTTTTTTTAATCTCTTCTGTTTGACTATATTCATTCATTCGTCTTTACTGAGCACCAATTATGGTGTACCTAGGTGTGCCCATTGAGAGAGACTTGGAGAAAAACAGTCCCTAGCCCATTATAGCAAGAGAGACAAGACAGTACAATTCAGAGTTCAGGGCAGTCAGACGATGGGAGGCAGATAGCTTCTGATGAGAAGTGTGAACTTTGGAATCAGATAGATCTGAGGCCAAATTCTGACACCCCTTCCCCTATTCAGTCTCCATAAGAAAGTTTCCAGTATGTGTGTGTGTGTGTTGAGGCTATTGATTGAACCCAGGGCCTCAGGGCCTTGCACATGCTAGACAAGAGCTCTCCTACTAGCTAAATTCCTTCATAGAGAAGTCTTTTTTTTGGTATGGGGATTGAACTGAGGGGTGCTTTACTGCTTAATGACATCCCCAGTCTCTTTTAATTTTTTATTTTCAGACAAAGTCTCACTAAGTTGCTTAGGGTCTCACTAAATTGCTGAGACTGGCCTTGAATTTATGATCCTCCTGCCTCAGTCTCCCAAGTCTCTAGGATCACAGGCGTGTTCCACCATGCCAACTCATAGGATTCTTAATTAATTAGGACTGAGGTCAATTTGTTTATCTATGAAATAGGGAATGATAGTACCTACTTCATGGGATCGTTCTGAGGGTTAAATAAGATAATGAATGAAATGAGTCTAGTACAGTTCTACTCTGTGTGTGTGTGTATTTAGTTGTAGATGGACACATACTTTTATTTATTTTTATGTGGTGCCTCACACGTGCGAGGCATGTGCTCTACCGCTGAGCCACAACCCCAGCCCCCAGCCTCTACTCTTTTTTTTTTTTTTTAAATATTTATCTTTTTAGTTATAGTTGGACACAATACCTTTATTCCATTCATTTATTTTTATGTGGTGCTGAGGATCGAACCCAGGGCCCCATGCATACTAGGCAAGTGCTCTATCTCTGAGCCACAATCCCAGCCCAGCTTCTACTATTAAGTGCTTAAAATGTTAGGTCTCAGGCTGGGGTCATGCCTCAGTTGGTAGAGTGCTTGCCTAGCATGTGTGAGGCACTGGTTTGATTCTCAGCACCCATATATAAGTAAATAAATAAAGGTCAATCAACAACTAAAAAAATTTATAAAAAAAATGTTAGGTCTCATTACAATTATTCATTCTTATGGTGGAGGAAACAAAAATCCTTGAGCAGGTCACTAGAGGAAAGCTGGGCAGATGTCAGCAGGCACTTTGAATTGGATAGAATTTGAGAATAGCCCTTGAATGCCGGGTAAAAATAAATGTAATAAAGTCTCATCCTTTATTGTTTTCTGTGAAGCAGTTATTTTCATCAAATGCTTTTTTTTCTCTCTAGACAATGAGAAGTATGACCTTCATGTTACCCCACAGCAAGGCAGCAATGAACCAATTGTCCAAGACCTGGCCCAGGTTGTGGAAGAAGCCACAGGGGTTCCACTGGCTTTTCAGAAACTCATATTTAAGGGTAGGTGTTTCTCTTCTTGCTTTGAGCCTTTATGGCTAAAGGACAGACTTAAAACAGGTTAACCTTACCTAACAGTAACTTTCAGTTTTCAAACTAGGGCAATTTTTGTTTATTTGTTCGTTTACTCATTCCTTTAAAAATATTGAGGACCTGCTATATATACTGGAACTTTTCAAACATCTGAATAGATATCAGGTTTGAAGTAACATTACAGAAATCTTACCTTTTTTTTTTGGCATTAGAGTTCGAACCCAAGGGCACTTAACCACTGAGCCATATCCCCAGACCTTTTTATATTTTATTTAGAGACAAGGTCTCACTGAATTGCTTAGGGCTTCGCTAAGTTACTGAGGCTGGCTTTGAACTCACAATCTTCCTGTCTTAGCCTCCGGAGCCACTGGGATTACAGGCATACACCACTACACCTGGCAAAATCTTACCAATTTTGATAAAGCATGAGCAGTCTTTTCTGGCTAGGCTAGATCCTTTTTCTAAGTGTGTTCACCTGTTATCCCCTACCACTTCAATAATTTGTATTGAAATTACTATTAAATGATTTTTTTTCTTAATTGTTTAAAATCTGATTTCTTTTGTTAAGATTACAAACTCCATGAGGTGAGAGATACTGCTACATTTTAGTGCTTGGCATTGTTCAGACTATTGTAGGTTTTGAACTTGGATGTGACAGGTCATTGGATGGTGCTGATTTCCACTAGGACTCACCCCATCCCCACTCCTGTCCCTGCCTTCCTGCTCCCATAAGAACCCATTATTCTGGTATTTAATAGGGATAGATAGATCTCCTTGGGTGTCCATATGAATTTAATAATAGAAATAATTTATTTATTTCCTTATTTATTTTGCAGTACTGGGGATTTAATGCAGGAGTATTCTACCAGTTTGCCACAAACCCAGCCCTTTTTATTTTTTTTTAATTTGAGATAGGGTCTCCCTAAGTAGACGAGGCTGCCCCAAACTTTCAATCCTGCCTTAGCCTCCCAAGTAGCTGGGATTAAGGTATGTGCCACCAATGTCCAATTTCTATGTATATTTCATAGTGCAACTCCTTGTCTTTTTAAAAGCATTTTATCTCTGAATTATAAAGACAACAGAAATTTGCATTTTAAAACAGAAGAAATCACAAAAAAGAAAATGTTCCTCTGGACAAGGGCTTTTTTCTTTTTCATGCTGGGAATCAGATTCAGCACTCTACCACTGACTTACATCTCTAGCCCCCTACATTTTATAATTTTTTTTCTTATAACATTAGGTCATCCGCATTCATTGTGGCAGTAAGTTTCCTAAAAAATGGACTTTAATGACTACTACTCTTCTTTTTCTTTCTTCACTTCTTTCTTTTTCTCTTTCTTTGGTTTTTTTGGTGTGGTAAGTACTGAAGAACCCAGCCAGGGGCACTGAGTATAATCCCCAGTTGTTTTTTATTTTATTTTGATATAGAGTCTTGCTGAGTTGCTGAAGCTGGCCTCACACTTGGTGATCCTCTTGCTTCAGCCTCCAGAGTTGCTAGGATTACAGGCATGTGCCACCACACACAGCTCAAAGTCTTCTATTGTACAGATATATAGTTAATTATTTTCCTATTCCTGAATATTTGGCTCTTTGTAGTTTCTGACTATTGTAAGATTGTTCTGAATATTATCATTTAAGAATTATTGTGTAGTATTATGTGTGTTCAGTTATATCTAGAAGTGAAATTACTGGATTGACACTTTCAAAAAAGGTTATACCAATTTCTCTCTTCTTATTAGTGAACACACTTGTATATTTTCTATACCTTTGCTGAAATCTATTTCAGTGTTGTACATTTGTTACAACCTGGCATACCTTTCTTCTCTTTTCAGGAAAATCTTTGAAGGAAATGGAGACACCATTGTCAGCACTTGGAATACAAAATGGCTGCCGGGTCATGTTAATTGGAGAAAAGGTAAATTGTTTTTTCCACCAGAATTCCTCAGAATCAAAAGTCTTTATACGTGTCTGTCTGGATGGCCAAATTTGGGATCCAGATTCTGCATTGGTGAAACGCCTCTTTAAACAAATTCTTTGATGGGATTACCAGTTCCCCCCCCCAGTTGTTTGTATCTTCCTGCTTGTTGATGAGGGTTTTTGCTTTAGGAATTAGGAACTGTTATGTTGCCTCAAATAACATGGCCTTTGTTTTGGTGTGGAATCTCACTTTGATTAAAATGGTGCCTAGACAGGCCTTATTAGAATTGGAATTTGCAAGAGAGCTTTATGTTGAGCCTGCAGATATTAAAGTACTGCACACCAGTTTTAAGAGCCTGTTTCTCTTTAACCATCCATTTTACTAAAAAGTCTCCCACAAGAGGAAAACCCTCTTTGACCAAAAGAAAGTTTCAGATTAAAGAACTAAGGGGGAAAAGAGTCAGTTTGTGACAGGTGAAGGCAGTGGTCCCTGAGGTGATGAGAGAACACTGTGGCCATCCCTGCATTGTGACACAGTGGAATTGTTGGGCATATGAAGTTTCCTTACTTTGAGTGGCGTGGCTAAGTAGAGGAGGGCCAGAGATTAACAAAGTGGAGTCAAAAATCTAATCCAGACTTGGAACTATCAATAGACACAGACTCAGGATTTGGCCACAAAGAGAAATGGATAATTTAAGATAGTATAACAAAGCAGGAAGCTGCTTGTCCTGGGTACCAAGTGTTTAGGTGAAAGAATGGAAAAGACTCTAAATTTTTTGCTGAAGCGTCAAGGAGAATGGCGATGAGCACCAGGCAAAATCCATGGGTTCAGTTTGAAGAAGTAATGGGACCTCTAGGTACTGTCACAGAGTGTGTAAAGCCAAAACTGAATTCCATTCTGCTCCATCTTATCTGAGCTGTGTGACCTTAGGTTACTTTACTAAGTTAGCCTTGGTTTCATCATCTATAAAACAGTACCTCCCTTCTAAGGTTGTGGTAAGGCTTAAAAAACAATACAAGTAACATGCTTAGGATAGTGCCTACTATGTAGGGAGTGTTCAATATAAGTATTCATCATTGTCATCATCTTATTGAATAGGAAAACTCAACTCAAGGGTGACATTTAGGAATTCCATTTAAAAGGAGTTGTCAAATTCCACCTGACTTGCCATTTGTACTCCTTAGAGGTATTTGCATTAATTTGTTTGCCCTCCAGTCTGACTGTTGATCAGCCCAAGGCTGAGGCTGAATCTGGCGTTTGGATTGGCTCCATTCTCTTAGCTCTAGGTGCCAGGACACTCACCAAAATGTTGACTTAACATCTTCCTTTTCTTTGAACGGGAGTCTTTGTAGATAGAAAACCTTGACATATAACACTTTTATTTGCTTTTGAAGAAGCAGCAGAGTTACGGCCTTTCAAGGTGAGCATTTTAGCCCAGTTGTGGCCAGATTTTCTTATGATAGAGGCTACTAATCCTGGTGATGATTATTGTTTTTGTTTTGTTTTGTTTTTGTATTTTGCAGTGCCAGGGATCAAACCCAGTGCTGCCTATGCTATGCAAGTAGCACTAAGATATACTCCAGCCCTGATCTTGGTGATTAGTGACTTCATTTTATTCATCATTTTAGAATAGTCCAGAGGAAGAGGCTGAATTAAAGAAGTTGAAAGATTTGGAGAAGTCAGTGGAGAAGATAGCTGACCACCTGGAAGATCTGAATAAAGAACTTACTGGAATCCAGCAGGTAACTTCCCTCGTAAACTTTTCCACCTTTTGTAAGAACTTTGTGGATATCATATGTGGTAACAAGTGTAGGCTCTGCATTCAGACACCCTGTGATCAGATTCTTGTCCTGCCCCGCCCTGCCCTTCCCTGCCTCTCCCCCTCTCCCCCTCTCCCTCCTCTTCCCCTCTTCTCCCTGTCCAACAAACATTCTACTTCACAACATCCCTAGCCCCGTATCTTTTCTCTTACTTCAGACAAGTTTTTCTCAACTTCCTCATCTCTAAAAAGGAATAATGGTGGTATTTTCCTCTTAGGGTTATTGTATTAAATACTGTAGGCTGAGACTGACACATACTGAATGCTTTCTAAGTATTATTTTCATTGTTATGTCAAACCCCAGTTAACATCTATTTGTGCCTACAAGAGAGGGACATGTGTGCTTACAATCACAGTGACTTGGGAGGCTGAGGCAGGAGGATTGCAAGTTCAAGACTGGCTTCAGCAACTTAACCAAACCTTCAGCAACTTAATAAGACCATGTCTCAAAATTAAAAAAAAAAAATGTTTTTTAAAAAGGGACTGGGGATATAGCTAAGTGGTAAAGTGCCTCTGGGTTCAATCCCCAGTAACGAGAAAGAGAGGGAGAGCACTTGCCACAGGAGGATCATATTATTGTCTGAAATTGCTCCTCACTGTCCAGGGTGTTTCTATGTATTTAGCAAGGCAAGGAATATTTGGTTAAGTCACAGAAGCTCCAAATTCAGCTTGATCTTAGTGGAGTAGTGATGGTGGGGGTTGGGGTGGGGTGGGACATCCTATTCAAAACCTCATGTTAGAAATGGGATACTGACACCCAATAAAGATTAGGAGTAACTCAAGTCCACCTACTTCTTTTTCCCCTCATTTTATAACATAATTGGTATGTGTTTGTGTATTAATTATATAAAGTGATATGATAGCTGTATAATAAAAGTTTTACATACACACATAATTCCTACACACATAGGTAGTAATATAGGAAATAAAAATTAGCTGTAAGGCACAAACTAGTAAATGGCAGTCAGGATTTGAGCCCAGGCCTGTCAGATCCTAAACCTGCCTCTTGTGTGCAAGTATGTACCTGTGATTTAGAGATAACCAATCAAAGCCTGAAATGTGTTTTCTTTAAAATTTTGATATAATATTATATATACTTTGTAAAAAAATTCTCTTATTAGATTAAAGAAACTGAACATTTTCTTACATCATTAAAAATGGTCGTACTGGGGCTGGGGTTTTTGTTCAGTGACAGAGCACTTACTTGCCAGCATGCGTGAGAACCTGTATTTGATCCCCAGCAGTAGGAAAAAAAGGTCTAAAATTTGTAATGTTTTTTTCAAAGATTACATATCTCATCATGTTTGAATGTATCATAGTTTACCTAACCTAGTCTCTTTGTTCACCACCTAACATTATTTTTACCATTGTATATAATGCTTCTTTGAATGTCCTTGGTCATGAATCTTTTTTTTTTGGTTATTTCTAGGTTTTGTTTGTAGAAGCATTATTTGAGTTGGAATTGCTGGTTAATATTTTAAGTTCTTGCTCTTGTTGTCAAATAGGCATCTAGCTCTTGGCTTTGGTAAACATCCTCAGAGACTTTTTAGCTCATATGACTGACTAATTGGTCATGAGGTCAGGCAATATGAATAAACAGCAAGATAATCTAATGAAAATAATGGCTACTGCCATTTGTTAGCGTAAGTCTTTCCCATGAGTTATGTTAAGCAACTACATATACATTCCCCCTTTTCCTCATAGTAACCCTCTGGAATATGGGTACCATAGTCTGTTTTTAAAATGAGGACACTAAGGAGTTAAGTAACTTGCTCAAGATCATGAGAATCCTGGGCAGTCAGGATCTGAGCCCAGGTCTATCAGACCCTAAAGCTGATACATTCTCTTTCTCTCTCTCTTTGCTGGGGATTGAACCCAGGACCTTGTATTTCCTAAGTAAGCTCTGAACCACTGAGTACATTCCATCACCCAAACACATGCCCTTAAAGTCTGCCTCTTTATATGCAGGTATATGCTTGTGACTGGGGACTTCACCAGAGCCAGGCCTAATGGCATTTGAAGCCCCAGTGACCCATGTGAGATAGAGCAGCCTGTAGCCTGATAAAACTCTTGGATAGGCACAAGGCCAGCCTTTCTGTTTTCTTCCAGGAGATGAAGTTGTGGGCCTGGCTTGTGACAGTGAACACAGGGCATGGTCACTTCATTGGTATTGTGGCACAGTTTTTCATCAGCCTTATGGAACCCTTGCAATAATACATTATTCCTCCACAGGGTTTTCTGGCTAAGGATTTGCAAGCTGAAGCTCTCGGCAAACTTGATAGGCGAGTAAAAGCCACAATTGAGCAGTTTATGAAGATCTTAGAGGAGATTGACACAATGGTATGTAAATATTAAGCTCAGAATAACTAGTTTTCTTTGACAATATATCAGTTTCACTTTTTTAATAATGAACTACTAATGTCTGAGCAAACTCATCACTTGAGGATATTGAGCATCAGCTACTGTGTGCCAGACACCACGCTAGTTCCTGGGTGAATACACAGACCCATATGACAGTTGCTGATTTCTAAATACTCAGCTCACCAACATAGATCTTTGGTTTTTTTTTTTGTATTTGTTTTTGTTTTAGATGTTGATGGACCTTTATTTTATTCATTTATTTATATGTGATACTGAGAATCGAATCCAGTGCCTCACACATGCTAGGCAAGTGCTCTTCCACTGAGCCACAACCCCAGCCCCTATGTAAAGTATCTCAACTTTTTTTTAGGTGGTGCTGGGGATTGAACCCAGGGCTTTGTGCATATGAGGCAAGCACTCTACCAACTGAGCTATATCCCCAGCCCAGGGCTTTTGTCGTGTACATATATGTAAATAAAATTAGCATCCATAACTCATGAAACTGGGACCCAAGTAGTCTGTGATCTCATGGTTGAAGAAACAGGGCTTTGTATTTCTAGCTTGATGCTTCATTCTTTTTTTTTTTTTTTTTTTTTTTAAGTTGTAGATGGACACAATACCTTTGTTTATTTTTATGTGGTGCCGGGATCGAACCCAGTGCCTCACGTATGCTAGGCAAGCGCTCTATCACTGAGCCACAATCCCAGCCCCATGATGCTTCATTCTTGAGTGTGAACTGCTCTGGGCTTGGGATACTTATGTTGTAAAAGAAAATATTATCAGAAGGTACTTTTCCTGGCATACTGAGATCATGGTCTGACAAGGACATAGTATCTATACATAGGAAACAGTGAAAGAACAAAGTCTGTGTTACAGATCAGTTTTTATGGTTCAGACATTGAGACCAAAGATGCTTTTAGGAATGAGAGCCGTGGAAAGGACTTTGTAAAGTACAGACCTGGAGAAATGATCCCTTAAAATTCACATCTCATTTGCATTAGTGACCTATGATCTGTTTGGTGTGTTGTTTTCTTTTTTATATATCTCATGTAATTGTCACTGAAGATTATGTGTCAACTTTTCTTCCATAGATCCTACCAGAAAATTTCAAAGACAGTAGGCTAAAAAGGAAGGGTTTGGTGAAAAAAGTTCAGGTGAGTTGTGTGATAGTACATGACAAACTGTTATGTGTTGGGGTTTGTTTATCTGCTTGAAATTTTCCAGTAGTGCAGAAATGTAGTGTTTGGCATGAGTTTTTATTTTTCGTTGTTGTTGTCGTTGTTTTGTTTTTTCAGCATGAAGCCAGAGCATCAGAGAAGAGCCCCCTTTGTGTCTCTTTAGTTTTATTTGAATTTAAACTATTTAGGGAGAAAGTTCACAGAAGAGCAGATAGGCTGACCCCTTACACAATCCCAGGAGGCACCATTTGTGTGTACAGTACCTCCTTCAGTTGTGTTGATGCAATGTCCGTGGCCCCGAGGAAAGACTCTCTGTCCATTACTGCCTCTGGGGGAGTTGTTGAGCTAGAGCATGGTCAGAAACCCTGACCCTATATTTTCCTCTCCCTCCCTCCTTTACCTTGGAGCCCAGGATGGTACCCATCTCCATCCTTACATAGTCTGTTTAGAGTCTCACTCACAGGTTCCCCAGAGTGGCTGAGTAAAGAGCTTTGTGTGGGCGGTAGTTGGCTAGCTCTGGAAGAGCCCTCACTGCCATGTATCTATCTTTTAGGCATTCCTAGCTGAGTGTGACACAGTGGAGCAGAACATCTGCCAGGAGTCTGAGCGGCTGCAGTCTACAAACTTGGCCCTTGTTGAGTGAGGTGCAGTGGAGAATGGTGCTGACTGAAGAACAGCTCTGTCCTCTCTGGAACAGAAATTGCCTGTTTCTCCATAGCTGTTAAAGGCAACTGGCCAATTATCAATTTTCCTACTCCTACACCACTTCTCAATGAAAAAGTACTATCTTTGCAACCTTAAGTAGAGCTCCTGTCTGTTTTCTTATTCTATTTCTATGTGGCTATACAATCCAGCAGGTGCCTTTTCCCAGCTCTTTTAACCAACTTTCCTCAAGCTGAAGAGTATTTTGGTTTGGTTTGGTTTGGTTTGATGAGCCTTAAGAAGGTAAAACCTTTTGTAGCTATAGTCAGAATTTATTTTTAAAAAGTTGAGAGTGGCTCTGTGTGTTCACTGTTTTGAGATTACAAAAGGAACAAGGTAAGGACTTTGGTCTTTATCCTAAGAGATGTGGGCCTTGCCTTTTAAAACTGGTCAACAGGGGCTGGGGCTGGGACTCAGTGATGGAATGCTTGCCTAGCACATGCGAGGCGCTGGATTCAATCCTCAGCACCACGTAAAAATAAATACATAAAATAAAGAAACAAAACAAAATGGTGATTCCTCATAAAATTGAAAAAAATAAAAATAAAACTGGTCAACAGCCAGGCTTGCTGGTGCATTCCTGTAATCCCAGTGGCTCAGGAGGCTGAGGCAGGAGGATCATGTGTTCAAAGCCACCCTTAGCAATTTAGTGAGGCTCTAAGCAACTTGGTGAGATCCTGTCTAAAAATAAAATATAAAAAAGGCCGAGGATGTAGGTCGGTGTTAAGTACCCCTGAGTTCAAACCCCTGTACCCACAGGGGGAAAAAACATTATCAGCTGCTGTCATTTCATTCTTTATCATAGTGCTCAGGAGATAGGCTCCCTATAGGCCGCCCAAGGCCCACTTCATTTGACAGAGAGGGATTCACTGAAGTCCCAGCAGTTTAGGACTGGGTGGGTAAGACCTCAGACTAGTAAGAAATTACTATGTGGGGAAAAACAGATATCTGAAAAAAAAGAAATAAAGGAAAAAGAAATTGTCGTGTGACAGGCACTATTATAAGTTCTTATAAATCATTTAATCTTTACATAATAAAAGAGGTAGAAAAAAATGAGGAAATTTGGGTAGTTTGCTCAAGGTAATAAATAAAGTGGTAAGTGGTAAAGCCACAACACAGAGCTAAGCAGTTTGATGTCAGAGCCTGTGCTTTCCTTTGATTTATTTGTTTGTTTGTTTATCAATGCTGGGGATGGAACCCAGGGCCTTGCCTTGCATGTGCTAGGCAGGTCCTCTACCACTGAGCTACGCCCCCAGCCCTGAGCCCGTGCTTTTAATATCTATTGTTCTGCCTCCCCAGTGACTTGGGGTTATATACATTCATTCACTTCTTATGTCTTTTCCTCTATTTAGCTACCATTTCAGTCTCTCTTGCTCTCTCCAGTTCATTTTCCACAGAGCAGCCTCAGTTCATAAGTCATGTACCTAAATACATAAGTTCCTTGTTTGGAAACCTCCAGTGCTCCCCACATCTCTTAGGATAAAGACCAAAGTCCTTATCTTGTTCCTTCTGTAATCTCAAAACAGTGAACATCGTTGCAGTCTTCACATCACACATCTTACTGCCTTAGTTTCCTTGTTTTCAATTTGAAAATTCCCAGGCAAGAATCTTTTAGCCAATCAACAATGGCCAGGGTAACAGAGTCGCATATCATAGATAAGCCTTTTAGGGCTCACTCTTGACTTTTAGAGTGGTCCACATCTATAAATGGGGGTTAGGAATTTCTTCTAGTAGGGTGTCTGCCACAATGTTCAGGTTTAATCTTTGATTTCTTAGCATATGAGTGGAATCCATGAAAGAAAGCATCACTGAGATGTTTGATCTGTGCCACTTAGGTTTAAAGAGCCTTCTCGCTTTGGAGGGAGACTTTCAGATGTCACTAATATCCACTTTCTCCTCCTACAATAAGTGAACTCCCCTCATTTTTTAGATTAACACAGGTAAAGATGATATTTCTCAGTCTTCCTGCTTCTAAATGGCCAAGGGGCATTTTATCCAATTGAACTGAATTTATACATCTTATGGGAAGTGTCTTCAATAGTAGGGTGTGCCCTTTCCTCCTTTCTGTAACTTGGAATGCAGTCATGCTGGATGGGATTGGAAGAGCTCTCTTGAACTTTAAGATGGAAACTGATGAGAATGATAGAGAAACAATATAGAAGCAAGGAATTGTCAAATTAATTTCTATCTGCTTAAGCTTCTATTATTTTTGGTTTTCTGTCTCTAACTGCCAAACTGAATCTTACATCATTTGTTTGCAGATGGGAAACAAGTTTATCAATAGTAGTAGAAGGGCCTATAGAAGATCATCTCCCAGATCCTGCCACTTGGAATCTATCAGCAACAATTTCTGCCTTTCCTGCTCGGCTTTCTTCTCAATGACATATGGTTTCTTGGAGCATTTCCTGCTCTTTCTAGCCACCTAGAACAGAAATCTGAATCCATGTGAAACAACTGCTCTTGCCTGGTCAGGCCTTTCTCCACACTCCTTTCCCCTGACACCATTATCAAGAGGCAAAAAGGCCAAAAGGGAGGGGGGGGAGTATTTGGCATGTACCACAAGTTGAGGTCTCTGGTGGGATTTCTAGTGCTCTGTGTCTCTGTGGTCCATGGTGTGGATATACATGTGCTGTGTGTGCCTGGAGTTGTGTCTAATGTCATCTAGTCAGCAGATGTTGACCTAAAGAGCAGAAAAGGATCTGGAAGTCATCCTGTTTTGCCAGGTGTTAACTGGACACTGGGATATCCAAGAGGTTTTCAGGTGACAGTCTAGGTGGCCAGGGTTTAGGGAAGCATTCAGAGGATTTAGAACAGAAGACCTAGTTCACTGTTCTGTGTAAACTTCCTGAATATAAGCTGTGTTTGTATCAAATTTGTGTATGTATCTGCATGCCCCAGAGTGCCGAACAACCCAAGAGAAAGTCACGCAGGGTGTGCTTCCATGAAGGGGGTGAATAAAGCTGAACCACACATATCAATAGTGGCAAAGGATATTGATCTCATCCAGGTTCCAGGCACTGTCCTGGGGTCAGAGGCTACCTCTCAAGTGGGCAGGAGACAACTGAAACCTCAAAGGAGACATGAGATAGGGTTGAACACCAGAGGGATGGAAAGGAGTTGGACATCGGATTTATAACAGAAAGAATAGTGCAAGATCCACCCTCCCAGCCCTCACCACAATCACCTCCCCCAGAGTCCCCAAAGACACTGGTTCACTTCCCTGGGTTGGGCTGGAGCTTTTATTTTATGTCACATCTCCTCCCTGCCCAACACTGTTCTCCAGCTTGAAGCTTCCTGGCTTGAGGCGCTCCTTCAGGGTCAGCATTTGCCATCCTTTATGATCTGGATATCCTTTTTGGTTTTTCTGGGATTACAGGAGACAAGAATGAGGATACCTCTGGGAACTATAACATACCCTTCAAGGACCAGGCCCTATCTGTGCAGATACCCTGCTGAACCCACTCCCATATCCTACAGTGTAGGAATATAGGGCAGATCCCAGGGATCTGTGAGTATTTCTATAACCTTTCCTTCTTACATCTTGCCCCTGGGAGATTTCAGCCTCCTGGGATTTCCACCACCTGTGCATGCTTATGACTGCCAAGTCTGTCTCCTGCCCAGACCTCTGTCCTTCCTGACTATGCAGTTGTCTATTGCACATCTCTGGTATATACCAGAGGTTCAATTGTTCACAAACATTGTATCCTACAACTACTACCTGCACCCTCATAGTTCACATCTTGGCAATTAGCACCACCAGCCACCCAAGCCCACGGGTTAGAAGAGCAGCGTGTTGTTCTTGCCTTCTGTGTCCCCTTACCTTTCATGTCCATTTACACAACAAACCTGCAATTCTACCATCAATATATCTCTCTTTTTGGGGGGTGTACTGGGGATTGAACTCAGGGGCACTCAACCACTGAGCCACATCCCCATCCCTATTTTGTATTTTATTTAGAGACAAGGTCTCACTGAGTTGCTTAGCACCTTGCCATTGCTGAGGCTGGCTTTGAACTCACAGTTCTCCTGCCTCAGCCTCCTGAGCCCCTGGGATTACAGGCGTGCGCTACTGCACCCAGCTCAATGTATCTCTTAACTATGAGTCTAATTTTGATCTTTTTCTAAACTGGACAGTGTTCTGCTGCTTCTTACAGTTCCTCCAATACAAACTTTCACTTCTGTCTAGAGCTTTGTGGTTTCCAGCCACAAAGAAAGAACCTTTCTTTTCTTTCGTGAACTCATTTAGCTCTCAAGCTGACTCTCAGGATTTTATTGGTGAAGAAATGAGACCAAGTAGGTGATCGGTTTTACCAAAGTCATGTTCTAGCCTCTTCCTTACCTCTCTGAATTAATTTTTTGCCCCTCCCCCATTCTCCCTTCACACTCCAGTTTGTCCACTTTCTTCAAATACACTCTTTCCCTTCCAGGCCTTCCCCAGCTCCCTCTCTTCTATCTGGAATTATCTTCCCTACCTCTTCCTTTCTAGCTTATTTCCACTTATCCCTCAGGGCTGTGCTCAGGTATTACCTCCTCCAGGCAGTCTTCCCTGCCTCTGCCCATTCCTTGTTACCATGGTGCCCTGTCCATATGAGCCTTGGGCATTCTGTGGTGCAGTTAGCTGACCATCAACCTGGCTTCCCCCTTAGATTGACTGGATGCTCTAGGAGGCCAGCAGTGCTATCTAACTTACTGTGCTCTGTTCTGTCCTGTGCCTACCACATAGTAAGTATTCAATATAATTATTGTATTCAGTATAATTATTGACTATAGAATGAAAGAACATTCTATAGAATGAGGTGACCCTAGCAATCAAGGGCAGAATAAGAAAAAGAACCCAGGGTTTCTGGCCCTTCTCCTCTACCCCCACCAGCTTCTGCTTGGAATCATGCCCCCTCTTTCAATTATATTTTGGCTCATTCTGTTAAAAGTAAATATCACTACTCCGCAGGCCAAGCATATGTGAAGGAAGAAGGCGGTCAATTCTTTCTCTTTTCAGATTTGTGTGCAGCCAAGATGGGGCCTACCCAAGCAAGCTGAGTTGGGAGTTCTTACATTCGGGTCAAGCAGAGATGACATTCACTGTTGTATGTGACCCCATCAGTGCCACAGACGAGGTTAGGTGTCTGGGAACAATTTGGAGGCTCTGTCATGTGCTCACAGATGGGCTGTGGAGGAGACAGAGGAGACTCAAAATCAGAGACAATAGGGAGGGATATAGGAGCTCTGCTTGGAGCCTGAGAGGCACCAGGATGGAGCCAAATTCAAGACAAACTGTGTGTAGGTCTAGTGAACATAAAACCAGCCACTCAGGACCCTGTGGTATATTTGTGTGTGTGTGTGTACATGACCAGGTGCCTGTGGTTGGATGCATATTGAGTATGTTGCTGTGTCTACTGAGGTGTGGGTATCCCAAGTATACTGTGTATTTGTGTGGAGTGAGTTTGTGCCCTCAAGTTCTTGGGGACTGGTTCCATTACTCCTCAGAGGATCCAACTAGAACCTCTCTGTTGGTCTGATTGAGGACCCCAGGAGACAGAACCCATCATCCTAGGGGGCCCTCTTCCCAGGAGCCCCTGAGCTCACTGTAGCCTATCAAGTCCTTGGAAGGAAGGTACATAGTGTGGGAAGATTGGAGAAATGAGGCAGGGCTTGGAGCTTAATTGAGGCTCAATTTGAAAGGGATTCAGACTATACCTGACAGAACCGGGTCAAGATTGGGCCCTGGCACAGGGAGAAGGGAGAATGAGGCAGTGTGGTGCAGCACTGAAAGCTCAGGCTAAAGCCCTGGATTCCGCTGGACCAGCTGGATGAGCTATTTCCATTGTTGGAATATTAGTTTCCTCATGTGTAAAAATTAGGAATGTTCCTTGCATAGGACTAATTGAAATTATGTTAAATATTTGGCTTTTTATCTGGCACCAAGTATGTGGAGCTGGATTCGTTCTGATGGACTGACAGGAAGATGCTACACTGTTGGATGGGAAGGTGGCTTTGAACTTACTCATTCATCTATTTGAAAGGACTGATTGATGTTCCCAAGGATGCCGTCATCACTGCCTTAGGATCACTGGGGATGTTAGACCCAGAAGCTAGGTGGAATAGGCTTCAGGGGCAACTTGATGTTTGTCTACTCAGAGTAAAGGGATGAATGATGACACCCAGTGGGGAATGACTGGCACTCCATGGGGCCATTCAGTGTGCTAAGGTCACCTCTTTGGCCTGAATCATATGGTCTGTCTGTATTACACAAAGCAGAGAAGATGCTATGTGCTGCTAAACCTTGGTGGGAGAATCTCACTGAGGGAAGGGGCCTTGGAGACCAGGTTGAGACAGATCCCAAGGGCTTTGATGAAGGGGATAGACTTGCTTAGCCTAGAGGGAATAATCTGGGGATCATGCAGGCTCAGGAGTCCACCCTGACCTCCTTGGGAGTCATTGAAGGTATCTGAGCAAGAGTGGAGAATAATTCTGGTGTTCCAGCATGGATGAAAGGACTTCTCTCTGCAGAGGGAAGGCCACAACATCAAGCATCTGCCTTACCATTCTTGAGAAAATGAGCTTTTCTGCTGACACTGGCACCTCTGAAAAACAAATCAGTAAGAATAAGGTAACATTGGTCCTAGGTCCCAGATCCTGGGATCTGAGGACTGTTTCTCCTTCTCTGGGAGTCCTGACCCCAACACTACCAATCTGGAATTTCTCAAACAAACCCAGAGGATAGGGTTTCCAGAAAGCTGATGTGACCTTGTGTATCATACATAGTGACAGAAAGTCTCAAATCAGGAAGGTAGTCACCAGCATGTTCCTCATTCAGGTCCACTGAAATTATGGTGTCCCACATAATAATATCAACAACTCAGTAGTTACTCTGTGCCAGGCATTGAGAATACATGATTTTAACCACTGTTCAGACCTCTCTTGCTGCTCTGAAGAAAGGAGGGAAGAAAGGAGGCAGTGGTGGATGCTGTGCTCTGCTTCCCTGAGCCCACCCATAGGACTGAGGCACCTGACCTTGGGCTCACTATCTAACCTTGCATGTCCCTAAGTCCAGCTTTTCTTCTGCTCACTGTTCCTGTAACAGGCTCTGTTTTGGTTCATGCAAAGCCCCTCTCCCTGAAATGTTGCCTACCCCCTTTCTCCTATTGAATCATACCATCCTTTCAAGGCTCAGAAGACTTCCCTGTTGTCCCCCATTGTTTCCTGAGCAGACCTGAACTTGGGCTTTGCCACAAAATCACATGCTACCCCACTCACTGGGTCACCCTGCCTCCCTGTGAACCTGAGCTTCTTGGGTTCTTTGACTCTGTAGCACCCTGGTCAATTCCCACACATTCAGTATTCAGAAATTGACCACTAAAGTATGCCGGGGGAAGGGAGAGTCCAGAGTTTCTTCCTAGGAAATGCGGGGAAATTTTGCATTCACACCCCAGCTTCCTTTGACCTTGATCCAAAGTGCCCCCTTCTCACTCAGTCCATGCAGGATCTGAAATGTGTACAAGGATCCTCTTCAAACACTTTACTGAAACCCTCAGAAAACTGGTGCTAGGCTAGGAGTAAGCAGTCTGTGTGTGACCAGAGCCCCTGGACCCATTTCTCATTGCCACAGTGTGTCCCCATTTGGAGAAGTGGATGAGGAAGTGGCCGTGAGTCAATGGCCCTGAGGACCTGCCAGGGCCTGCTTAAAACATTATGACTTCTGTCCAGTTGGATCCCAACTGGTCTCTCCACCTACCCCCATTTACTTTATTCTCAGTATAACAACTAGAGCAATTCTTTAAAAATATAACTCTGCCTCAAAACCCTTTAGTGTCTCCCAGTTTTAGAGGAAAAGCCAAGTTTTCACATTGGCCCAGGAGGCCTTACCCAGTTTATTTCCTAGTTTGCCTCTTGTCTCACCTATTGCTGTGTACCCTGCCCTTCACTGCCCTCCAGCCACACTGGCATCCTCACAGTACCTCAAACTCTCCAGGCATGCTTCTACCTCAGGGCCTATGCATTGGCTATTCCCTCTGCCTGGAATCCCCCAAATAGCCACAAGGCTCACTCATCTCCTTTTTTTCTCGGAGAGATCTCCCCTGATTTAAAATTGCAGTCACCTCCTAATCCCTATTACCCAGCTTGATATTTTTTTCCTTTGGCTTTACCACATTTTAGCCTACTGTTTAACATACATTTTACCTATGTTGTTTATTGTCTGTTTCCCTTCTCTACCCATTGGACTTAAGGTCCCTCAGGAGTGCTTTGTCTGTTTTTAGTAACTGATGTGTTAAAGGGGTCACAGTGCCTTAGCTGTGAAAGTGCTGATGTATTCCAGCCCTAAGGAAGCCCCACTCCAGATATATGTGTCTAGCCCCAGACAAGGATTCCCAGGGAAGAGCTCCCAAATGCTCACATGGCTGTTCATAGACTCAAAGCACAGCATGTCATGGCAGAACAGGAGTCAGAATGTCTCTCAGCATCCATCAGCCCTCAGTGAGCATAGTTGCCTATTGGCCCTGAGGACTGACACTCACTTACTCCTACTGCCCCCTCAACCTCTAGTCCAGTAATTGCCCAGTGCAACTATGAACTGGACAACCTCCTGCTGTATAGCTGGAGAAATTGAGGCCCCAAATGGAAGGGGACTTTGGCAATTCTAGGCCAAATTTAGAATCTGAACTCAAGTTTCTTTTCTCCTACTCAGGGGTTTGCCCACCACAGTAGAGGGTGTATATGTAGAAGGAAGGCATATGCAGAGAGCTGAGTCCTCACGGTGTGTTCCAGGCCTTTCCTCTACCCACACTCCCAAGCTCTCTACCAGTACAAAGTCCAGGTTCTACCCACTCACCCGTGTCCACAGCGAGGAGGGCAACCAAGGCCAGGGTGACCACCCATAGACGGACGGCCATGCTGATCCTGAGCTGGTGTGGCCCAAGCTAACTGGGGCCTGGGTGGCAAGGAAGGATGGAAACCTGTTTATAGTGCTGATCCCCACCCTTATCTTATCTGGGGCCAGTTGGAGACAAGAGCGTCACCTCAAGTTAATCCCTGCATCCTGGAACCAGGAAAGGGCTTGTTCAAGACAAATATTCTGAGTTTCTGGTGACATGGAGCTGTGGCTATGAGACTGGCAGATTTCTGGAGGGAGCAAATGTTTGGATAACTTGCAAAGTAGACTGGAGCAAGGAAAGGGTAGTTGAAGTAAAAAGAAAAGGGAAGAGAAAGAACAGAAAAAACAGCAAGTAGGAGAAGGCAGAGAAAGGGGGCTGGAGTCATGGATACCTTTGTCAGTACCTCCCCCACCAACTTTGTGACTCAGGAAAGCCATTTTCCTTAACTGGGCCTCAGTTTATCTGTGCACAAAACAGAGATGATAATTCTGACTCAGCCTTTCTCCCAGAACAGCTGTGAAACTGGATTGGTGAGAGCAGATGGGAAACATTTGTTAAGTATGCAGTGAGAGAAATATAAACAAAACTGATTCTTTTAACTTATTTTTTGGTGCCATGAAGTGGGCATAACCAGCAGATAAAATAAAGGCAAAATAAGACTTTTTAAATAGCATGTTTCTCATGCTGCATGTCCTAGACCCCTGCTTCTGACACAGAATAAAACATTAGAAGAAAGATACTTTCATGTTTTTCAGGTACTATATGCTCATTTCCATTTTAATAGGTTAAACACAGGATTCTTTTCAAGAAAAAGCAGTATCTAAAACTCCCCCATATCTCTGTAATATACATATGAAGGAGTAATTTGATTGTCTGCCTTCAAAGAATTTCTGACTTATAAAATGAATACAATGAAGCTGGACATGGTGGTGCTGCGTGCCTGTAATCCCAGTGGCTCGGGAGGCTGAGGCAGGAGGATCATGAGTTCAAAGCCAGCTCAGCAAAAGCAAGGCACTTAGCAACTCAGTGAGACCCTGTCTCTAAATAAATACAAAATAGGGCTGGGCATGTGGCTCAGTGGTCAAGTGATTGAACTCAGGGTCACTTGACCACTGAGCCACATCCCCACTACCCTCCCCCCATACCCAAAAAAAGAATAAAATATCTGATTTTCTCTAATTCATTTAGGTCAAGGATTTTGAACTCTATCTGAAGATTTTATTTACCTTTGGAGAATTTAAAAATACAGTTTTACTATGAAATATTTAAATCAATATTTCAGTATTGGACTGGGG